AGAAGAAAAACTGTAAATCTTACTGACATTTTCCTTGGAATAGGAAATGTCAGAACAAATTAAACGCAGACCAGAAGAAAAAAAAAGAAGTTGCTTGACTTCTCTCCTTGAGGGCCTGCATCAGATTTTAGGATAACCTGGGGCCAGGGGTCAGGATTTAGTTATCCTTGAACGTCTACAGTGGCACAAAATCCTAAGTGTGTGAGCACATTTCTGGGCCTACTCTTTTTTTCTATTACAGTCTCACTGAATGCTTGGTTCCAGACGCACATGAAAGGGTGGTTGGGCCCCGTGTACCAGGAAGAGCCGTGGCAGCAGGTCAGGCCCACTTTGTCTCTCTCTGTTTCCTGAGCTGGCCTTCCCCTGTACTTTCTGGGAGGGTCCCTCCCTGTTATTTTCCTCCCACAGTCCCAGANCATGAAAGCGTGGTTGGGCCCCGTGTACCAGGAAGAGCCGTGGCAGCAGGTCAGGCCCACTTTGTCTCTCTCTGTTTCCTGAGCTGGCCTTCCCCTGTACTTTCTGGGAGTGTCCCTCCCTGTTATTTTCCTCCCACAGTCCCAGACTTCGGCTGGCATCTCGGCCACGTCCCAGCCCCAGGGTTCAGCCTGCAGAGCTGTCTGCAGTGAGAAGAGGCCAGGGCTGGGCACACGTGTTCCAGAGCCACGGCAAGCCTGCAAAGTCAGCTGCTCGTGGCTGCGGCTGTTTGGGGTGGGGTTGAGAGGCTGCCTGTTTGATCCCTTTTTCTGTAGTCAGGGAAGAGGGCTCTAGCTGCCCGCTTTCTCTCATCAGCAAGTTTAGCAACAGCCAGGGGAGGAGGGCAGAGAAAACACGCCCACTGTAGCGTAGGACAGCCATCCTCTGGGACTAGCAGGTGATAACGTGGTTTCTGAATGCCACTGTTTCATGAGATCTTTATCACCTTCTCTAAAAGGGAATTTATTTCTGGATGTGCTGTGAGTGAGTGATAGTTGCTTAGTCATGCCTGACTTTTTGCGACCCCATGGACTGTAGCCTGCCAGGCTCCTCTCTCCATGGAACTCTCCAGGCAAGATTACTGGAGTGGGTTGCCATTTCCTTCTCCAGGGGATCTTCCCGACCCAGGGATCCTACATTGCAGGAGAGTCTTTACCATCTGAGCCACCAGGGAAGCCGACTATTAAGAGACAATTCTAAGTGCAAAGACAGGTCAACTTAAAAAGTATCAGCAGATACACGCTTGACTTTGTCTTATAATCTATGGACAAGACATTAGAATATGTCATGAATCCATACACCTTTTCCAAAGGAATACCCAAGACAGAAGTAGCAATAAAGTTATAAATGACAGTCATCAATCAGATGAAATAATTTAGATGAAGCTTTTCTCTCTCCAAGATATGCGGGCCTTATGTGGCTTCTATCGGCAGTTTCCTTTGATGAGTGGATCCCTGAATGCCCTGCACATCTCAGCTCATCAACCCTCTCCTTCAGGATAAGCTGATGTCATCTGAAGAACCCTCCCGCCTCTACCCCTTTCCTGCAGGTATTCCCATGAAAGCACCTGCCTATGTTCCAGAACACTCACATCTGGCTGGAGCTTCTGTGTCTGATGTCAGTCAGTCACTCCCTATTAGAGTGTAAGTTCCATGAAAGCAGGGACAAGTCTGGTTTGGTCACTGCTCCATCCTCAAAACAAACAACAGTGCTTGGCACAGAGGACATGCTCAGTAAATGTTTACTGAATAATCAACTAATCCAATTTAAGAGACTGTTAAGTTCCTATTCCTGGGTCCAAAAAGCATCTATGTGGTATGGAATAGATATGAATTACAGCAACTGATACAAAAGACAGGGTGGTCTTAGTTGTCCATAATCTCAGGATCAATAACAGGCTGGCGTAGTCTCCAGAAAAACTGCTTTTATCTTACTCTTCAATAATGCAAGTAGAATTTCTAGTGTTCAGTGGTGATGGTTTAGTCACTAAGTCATGTCCGATTCTAGAAACCCCATGAACTATAGTTCCCCAGGCTCCTCTGTCCATGGGATTTCCCAAGCAAGACTACTTGATTGGGTTACCATTTCATTCTCCAGGGGATTCTACTGGCTGAGCCACATGGGAAGGTCTCTAGTGTTCAATATTCAACGAGTAATCATGACGCCCAGTGCCAGATCCTTTCTGTGGTGCTGGAATTAAAATAAGTGCAAAGTCCTGAGGCTAGGAAAGAGAGGCCAGGAGGCCAGCAGAAAGGGGTAGGAAAAGAAGGCCCAGCAGCAGGTAGGGGCTGTGGTGGGAGGAGGAAGTGGCCCCAGCGCCTCTGCACTGCTCAGCCCCTGGCAAGGGAGGCGCTCGGGTTTAAGTGAGCCTGCAAGGAGAGACCAGGGTCCCAGGAGAGCCACCTAGGGGCTGGGACACCCAGGTTCCCGGCGCGGGCTGCAGTGAGGTGGCTGGAGGGACACCCAGTCTGGAGAAGAGCAGCCGGGAAGAGGACCTGCAGAGAAGGGGTGAGCCTGATCTGTTGGGAGATTCTGTGGGGCCTGGGAGCAAACAGTCCCAAGGGCCAAGGCCTCCAGGACTCAGGTAGACTTTGGGCAAGGGGCAAATCCTCGTCCCCGGGGACCTTTACGTGTAGGCTGGATTAGCTGCGTACTAGACAGCAGCATTAGATGCGTATGTTTAAGTCACTGGTCAGGTTAGAGTCACTCTCTTGGTTGCCAGACCCGCCCCACTGCAGTTGTTCCCACGTGTGCCCCGACAGAGGTCTAAGCAGGCAGCAGATTAGCAGGCCTTCCTGCGTACAGCCAGAGCATCTCCCTCATCCCTCTGAATGCACCTCTGAAGCCGGAGCTGGTTACATCTCAGATCTGGGCTGACTTAGCTGCCGGTGTGTGAAGGTCTAATACTGGGAGACCTGCCTTTGCAGGTGTCGCTCCAGCCAACAGGCAGGTAATCCACCTCCTTTCAGGACTTGGAATGAAGGCCATGATGGTAAATAACTCCTCTCTGCAATCTTCCTGGGCCCTGTTAACTCTTCAGGGGGAGCTTTCTGCACAAAGGACAAGCAGCAGGCACGGCTGCCCCTTAAGCCCCCAACTCTTTGAGCCACTCTCTCTGCAGATGATTGAGCACAAGGTCAGTCAGTTGCAGCCCAGCCACTGAGCCACTGCAGATTCCGGGTCTCTGTTGTCAAACTCAGGTCACAGGGCTTTGAAAAAGTGTGCATTTCATCCTTTTAGAGGGGAGATTAACGCATCTGTCAGCCAGTTAACAATGCAGCAGCTAAGAATTTGGTTCACCATGTTAGGGGCAGTGAGAAGCATGCTTGCTGATAAAAAAGAAGAATGTCTTGCTCAAAAAGGCAACTGCTCACTAAACAGACCCTGAACACTGCTGACGGAGTGGGTATGAGATGAGGCTGAATTTACCACTTTATCAGAAATCCCACCAGCTATGACCAAGACAGGTGTTAGTAACAGCACAAGTGGCCATAGCCGATGATGGGTCACTCCCCTGCTCAAAAACATACCATGGCTTCCTGGACACCTGGGTCCCTTTCCTAAGTTGGGTGTTGGGAGACCCACAGAGATCTGGCCTTTTCTACACCACCAGGCGGCCTGGCCACCTCAACAACATCACGCCACTAGCCCACAGGGTGACAGAGCTCCTGTCTGTGCACAGGCCTGGAGAGGCCCAGGCTTGGTCCTCAAGGAATGCACGTTTGCTTCAGGAGGCTAGGTCAGCAATGGGGAGCCATCAGCGAGCCGCCTGGGATGCCAGTGGGGGTAGGGGCTCCTTGGCTGGCTGAGTGGGTGGAAGTGGGAGACATGGGCATCTGTACCTCTTCCCCAGGGAGCAGGGGAGCCAGGCATGGCTGGAATACCACCTGGGTTCTGTGCGGTTGTGGTGGACTGTTGTCTGTCTCAGAGCCGGCACCCTACCCGAAGCACTGCACTGGCATCTCTGTTCTGCCATCTCCAAACCACAGAAGGCTGCTGGCAGCATACAGACATAGCACAAAGCTGAAGACAGGCCCCAAGAGACAAGCCTCAACCTCAGGGTGGGGTCAACGGGAAGACGTCCCAGGGGCTCCATCCCCAGCAGGACAGTTCCGAGGACGGTCCTCGGCCCTGGAGGACAGAGCCTGGGGTGCCCGCGCCACTGGCCGCCGGGTTCGCTCCCTCACGGTCCCTCTGCCAGTTCCCTCCCTTCTGCTCCTCGGGATCCCCTCCACGTAAAGTCTGCTGGCAGCCTCGGTTTCAGGCTGCTTTGGGAGCCTGCTAAGGCAAGGACTCCCGGTCTTGCTGAGTTACAGGTTCTGCTGCCCCAGCCAGCTGGGAGCTTCCAGAGACAGGGAAGTCCTTGCCGTTCAAGTCCCTCTTCCCGAGCCCCTGCTGCAGGGCAGAGTGGCGGCTGCTCAGAAGTGGTTTTTGACAATAACCTTGGCCACCAGTACCCAGGGCTGTGTGCGGGGCACTGCACTAACAAGCACATTCTCCTCTCTGAGCTAAGGTTCACAGGCGCCCCACCCTGTCGCTTCAGTGAGAAAACCGAAGGCTTTTCTCACTTGGGTCACCTGCTAGTAAAAGGCAGATAGCGAGGGCTGTGCCTTAACCACCGGGGCGTTTGTGTGGGGAGGGAGATGGAGCCTGGCAGGAGGCCACAGAGAAGAAAGACACTGCACCTGTCACTGTCCAGACGAGGTGCCTTTCTATCCTCTCCATGCGGTCGAGAGGGTCCCTGGGAGCCACCCTCAATGATCTAGAGCCTATTAAGAGGTGAAACTGCTTGAGGAATTAAGCACCGCTTGGACATCAGAGAAGACATGCCTTTTAGGAATCTGGGGACAGCACTGCAGCCCAGAGGTAGGAGAGGCCTCAGGCCTGGAACAGGCAGAAGGAGCAGGGCAGAGGAGGCTGGGGGATGGAGACGCAGATGGCTGGGAAGCCTGATGGAGGCCCACCCTTCCTCCTGTCCAGGCTTCCCACTCAGATCGCGTCACCAAGAGTCACTGAGGACTCGGTACCTGGGTTCCCGGCTTCAGGGACGGCACAAGGTCTTTGATCATTTTGGCTTCAGAGACTGTGACTCCACCCACCACGAAGAGGATGAGGAGAGGGTGGTCGCTGGGATGAGGCCGGCTCACCTGCAAACAAAACACGCCTAGCGTTAGAGGCGTCTTCAGGTGAACAGCCATTCAAGAGATTATCATTCGTTAGGGGTACGATGTGTCAGCAGGTGTGAGCCTACTGACCAGGAGCATGCCCTGCACGTCGCCTTCCTACAGCCCTTTACATAAATATTTTATTGAAAGAGAAGTTAAAGGAGCAGGAGCTATTTAAATAACAGAGAAGAAAGAGGGCAACTTCCCCTTCCTCTTCAGTCTACAGGTCTCAACACAACTGTGCTCCTGCCTTACAGAGCCTGTGCAGGTCCTTCCAAGCTCTAGCCACAGCCTGGAGGCATCGTCTCTGCTTACACACGTTTCACAAACTGAGGAGGCGGCGATCTTGTCTGCCTGGTTCACTGCTGAAGTCCCAGAGTACTTACTGCCATTTCAGAGTAGGTGCTCAATAAATGCCTGTGGCACTGAAAGATGGTCACATCCCTAGGGAGGAGGAGGAGAAGTGTGGACAAAGATGCAAGAGCCCCACGCCCACCCTTGAGGGCAGACTTCATGCCCTTACCTTCTGCAAACCAACCCAGCTGAGGATTTCACCTGCATGCAATGCTGCACTGAATGTCATGGAGAATCCCTGCCAGGGCCTTAAGGTCTCACCAGCGAGGGACAGTATAAACAACCACAATGAGAGTGCCTCCCAGCAACCTCTCAGGAAAGGCACAGTGCCAACATGTAGACCTGGGGACTAACTGAAGCGGGCAAGAGGGGCTCCTGAAGACAGTGCGTTTGAGTCCTACCTGCAAGCTCAGGAAGGTTCGGTGAGGAGTGGGTACAAGTGGGATGAGCCAAGTTCTGCAGGCAAGTGGTCACCAGCTGGGGGGAGTGACCAGGACAGCCGCATGGAGTCATTACAAGGAAGGATGCTGCCAGCTGCCCGCATGACCAGTGAAGCCAGAGGCGGGAGAAGCAGGCTGGTCTCCACTCAGAAGGGCGCAGACAAAGTAGGTAACTGTCTGCGCTCACCACACCCACTAACACACAAGCCATCTTTGGGCCAAAGGACGGTCCCCAGGAGTGGCAGGGTGGACAGCAGGCTGAGAGGAAGAGAGGCAGCCCTTCTCTTACCCCGGCTCCAACTCTTTTTTCAACTTGGTTCTTCTGACTCCCTTGCCTACATATAACTTTTCAGTACCTTATTTTAAAACACTTAGGAAGGTAATACATTAAGTGCTTCCAGTTACATAAGTTATTCCTTGGCTTCTGGAGAGGAAACTCAGAGTGAAGAAGGAGGGAGGGAAGGATGGGGAGAAATAGGGGGAGGGAGGGGAAAAACAAAAGGCAGAAAGAAAGAAGGAAAAGTGGGTCTAAACTTCTTCCAAATGGGCAGTGGTGAATCCTGGACAAAGTTACAGAACTGTTGGATCTTTAGAAAAAGACTCTAGACTCCCCGCCCCACCCCTTGACTTTCTGCCCCGAGGCTCCTTCCCTTGACTGCATTTGTTGACTGCTGTCTTCCAGTCCCGGTACCACACACTCACAGCCACGCTGCTTCTGTCCTGCTGTCCCCTGCTATGGCGCTCACTATAGTCACCAACGGCTACCACAGGGAGGGGTCGACAGACACTCGTCTTCATTTATCCGGACATTTCTGTGGCGTGTGTCCCAGCTGATGACATCCTTCTTGGCTGCCGCAATAGCACTCTCTGTGGGGTCTTCTTTCTACCTTTCCCACGGCTTCTCACATTTCTTCATAGGTTCCTTTTTTGGTCTGCTCAAGTGTTGATACTCCTTGGGCTTTATCTTTGACCCTGTGCTAGGAATCAGTGAATTAAAATGGACTGGAATGGGTGAATTTAATTCACATGGCCATTATAGCTACTACTGTGGGCAAGAATCCCTTAGAAGAAATGGAGTAGCCATCATGGTCAACAAAAGAGTCTGAAATGCAGGACTTGGATGCAATCTCAAAAATGACAGAATGATCTCTGTTCATTTCCAAGGCAAACCATTCAGTATCACAGTAATCCAAGTCTATGTCCTGACCAGTAATGCTGAAGAAGCTGAACAGTTCTATGAAAACCTGTAAGACCTTCTAGAACTAACACCCTAAAAAGATACCTTTTTCATCATAGAGGACTGGAATGCAAAAGTAGGAAGTCAAAAAACACCTGGAGTAACAGGCAAATTGGGCCTTGGAGTACAGAATGAAGCAGGGCAAAGGCTAATAAGAGTTTTGCCAAGAGAACACACTGGTCATAGCAAACTCAGAGTTTTGCCAAGAGAACACACTGGTCATAGCAAACACCCTCTTCCAACAACACAAGAGAAGACTCTACACATGGACATCACCAGATGGCCAATACTGAAATCAGATTGATTATATTCTTTGCAGCCAAAGATGGAGAAGCTCTATAAGTCAGCAAAAACAAGACAGGGAGCTGACTGTGGTCATGAACTCCTTATGGCCAAATTCAGACTTAAATTGAAGAAAGTTGGGAAAATCACTAGACCATTCAGGTATGACCTAAATCAAATCCTTTATGATTATACAGTGAAAGTGAGAAGTAGATTTAAGGGACTAGATCTGATAGACAAGTGCCTTATGAATCCCCAAGAAAGACCATCCCAAAGAATAAGAAATGCAAAAAGACAAAATCGTTGTCTGAGGAGGCCTTAAAAATAGCTGTGAAAAGAAGAGAAGTGAAAAGCAAAGGAGAAAGGAAAGATATACATCTGTGAATGCAGAGTTCCGGAGAATAGCAAAGAGAGATAAAGAAGCCTTCCTCAGTGATCAGTGCAAACAAATAGAGGAAAATAATAGAATGGGAAAGACTAGAGATATCCTCAAGAAAATTAGAGATATCAAGGGAATGTTTCATGCAAAGATGGCCTCAATAAAGGACAGAAGTGGTATGGACCTAACAAAAGCAGAAGATATTAAGAAGTGGAGGCAAGAATACACAGAAGAACCGTATAACGACCCAGATAATCATGATGGTGTGATCACTCGCCTAGAGCCAGACATCCTGGAAAGTGAAGTCAAGTGGGCCTTAGGAAGCATCACTATGAACAAAACTAGTGGAGGTGATGGAATTGCAGTTGAACTATTTCCAAATCCTAAACTAGTGGAGGTGATGGAATTGCAGTTGAACTATTTCAAATCCTAAAAGATGATGCTGTGAAAGTGCTGCACTCAATATGCCAGCAAATTTGGAAAACTCAGCAGTGGCCACAGGACTGGAAAAGGTCAGTTTTCATTCAAATCCCTAAGAAAGGCAATCCCAAAGAATCCTCAAACTACCACACAGTTGCACTCATCTCACACACTAGTAAAGTAATGCTCAAAATTCTCCAAGCCAGGCTTCAGCAATATGTGAGCTCTGAACTTCCAGATGATCAAGCTGGTTTTAGAAAAGGCAGAAGAATCAGAGATTAAATTGCCAACATTCACTGGATCATCAACAATTTAAGAGAGTTCCAGAAAAACATCTATTTCTGCTTTATTGACTCTGCCAAAGCCTTTGACTGTGTGGATCACAGTACAATGTGGAAAATTCTGAAAGAGATGGGAATACAAGACCACCTGACTTTCCTCTTGAAAAATCAGTATGCATGTCAGGAAGCAACAGTTAGAACTGGACATGGAACAACAGACTGGTTCCAAATAGGAAAAGAAGTAGGCCAAGGCTGTATGTTGTCACCCTGCTTATTTAACTTATATGCAGAGTACATCATGAGAAGTACTAGGCTGGATGAAGCACAAGCTGGTGTCAATCTTGCTGGGAGAAATATCAATATCTTCGGATATGCAGATGACACCATCCTTATGGCCAAAAGTGAAGAAGAACTAAAGAGACTCTTGATGAAAGTGAAAGAGGAGAGTGAAAATTTTGGCTTAAATCTCAACATTCAGAAAACTAATATCATGGTATCTAGTTCCATCACTTCATGGCAAATAGATGGGAAAACAGTAGCTAATTTTATTTTTTGGCATTCAAAATCACTGCAGATTGTGATTGCAGCCATGAAATTAAAAGATGCTTACTCTTTGGAATGAAAGTTATGACCTACCTAGACAGAATATTAAAAATCAGAGACAATACTTTGCCAACAAAGGTCCATCTAGTCAAGGCTATGTTTTTTCCAATAGTCATGTATGGATGTGAGAATTGGACTGTAAGGAAAGCTGAGCACCGAAGAATTGATGCTTTTAAACTGTGGTGATGGAGAAGACTCTTGAAAGTCCCTTGAACTCCAAGGAGATTCAACCAGTCCATCCTAAAGGAGATCAGTCCTAGGTGTTCATTGGAAGGACTGATGTTGATGCTGAAACCCCAATAATTTGGCTACCTGATGCAAAGAGCTGACTCATTTGAAAAGACCCTAATGCTGGAAACGATTGAGGGCAGGAGGAGAAGGGGACGACAGAGGATGAGATGGCTGGATGGCATCACCGACTCAACAGACATGAGTTTCCATAGGCTCTGGTAGTTGGTGATGGACAGGGAGGCCTGGCGTGCTGCAGTCCATGGGGTCGCAAGGAGTCGGACTGAGCAACTGAACTGAACAACTGAACTGAACTGAACTAAACTGGTTGGGGAAGCCTTGCTCAGTAAATCTTTATTCTAATTTTCTCCTTATTGGTGTGGCTCTGTTTCCTACCTATTCTTGGAACTGAGACCAAACTATGGTACAGGTAATGGCAGTGAAGTTGACCTCCTTCAAAAGGACTTATGTCAGCATGCTGGGCTCCTGGACTGTGGTAGTCAGTGAGGGAAAATATTCAATTTTTCTAGTTTGATATTTTCCAGACCATATTTTTAAAAATGCTAGTGTCTCATGAAATAATAACAGCTGTTCAACAAAAATGGTTTTAATTATCAAATTTCAAACTGCTGTATGTTACATCACCCCAGTTGAATGTCCATAAGGTATATTAGTACACTAAATACTCTGAGAAGTCTTATAGTAAACAAATCTGTTTACCTTGCTTTGATCCAGCATTTCCACACTTTATTCGACTGCAAGGATTCTTTTAATGCAACATTTGCTAAAATCACTTTGAATATATTAGACTCATGGGACACAATTTCAGAATTTTTTCTAATGCAACCTTCTTATTGGAGTAGGAAATACTCCAGTATTCTTGCTTGGAAAACTCCATGAACAGAGGAGACTGATGGGGTCCAGTCCACGGGATCACAGAGAGTCGGACACAACTGATGTGCTGAGAATGCATGAGCATGCACACAATCCTCTTATTTTGCAGCTAAAATAAAAGCACATTTGAGAACACAACAAACTTGTTTAATATGATATTTTCTCATCATATGAGTAGGGGATTAGAAGGTCAATTCAATGTCTTTTCTGCCTCATCATGAAGCTGTTAAGGAATGGAGTTCTATTTGCTATATTCTCTTAAGACCAGTTGGAAAGAGATTGTGTCATATTTGAAATTATTTTGTGAAGGTTCAAACCACAAGTGATTCAAAAGATAAATTCCATGATCCGCTGCAAATCTTTCTTGACACCCAAAAAGATTCCAATTATCTTTAAGCTTTATATATTATCATTTGAATTATAGAATACATGCTATAATAATATAAGATAAATTGTCATAATAGGTTGATCTACAACTCAATACTGATTGCCCAAATGGATTATGCAACTGTCTTATGTGTTCAGTCATTCAGTCATGTCTGACAGTTCACGATCCTAGTGGTGTAGCCTGAATTGAATTTTTCCAGCAGGAATACTGAAGTGGGTTGTCATTTCCCTATTCCAGGGGATCTTCTCAAACCAGGGATTGAACCCACATCTCTTGAGTCTCCTGCTTTGGCAGGTAGGTTCTTTAAAACTGTACCACCTGGGAAGCATAGCTGTCTTATAATAATGGATTATTAACCAAAGAAAAGAGCTTTTGTTTTATATTTTTGAGAATAAATAACTCCTGTGTACTACTGTATTTAACTATCTTGTTGAGGACTTAGTAAAAGTCATTATCTTTCACAGTACTCCTCAAAGTACAAGAAGAGTTATTAGTAGAGGGATTTTGCTTCATTTTTAGTTTGTTATTTTATAGACAGTGGAGGGTGGGAAAGAAATAATAATGATTAGGTGGAAACATGCACAAGTGAGCATTGTTCATTCTTTCCTTTTCTGACTTCCTACTACAAATTATAGTAAAAAGAATATAATTTAATTATCTTCATTTTTTAAATATAGAAAATAAAAATGGCTGTGATATAAAATATCTCCATAAAAAAGAGAACAGAAGCAAACTCTTACTGCTGTTTGGAAAGAGTAGTTTTAACAAAGCAGGAAAGAATCCTTTTCTCTGGTTGAGTGTTGATTCCCCAGCATGCTCTCAGTAAGTAATTAGAATGGCCCACTGAATGTCAGCATCAGCTTGTTTATTCTCATTATTTTATCATTTTTAAAACCCTCTAGGTGATGAGACATGCAGTATAGAACATAATTACCATTATTAGCATACTAATTGAACACAAAAATAGGCCAACTACAAGGTAGCCAACTGAATAATTTTGCATTAATCAAACACCATAGTGAATAAGCCTATTGTTAAATTGGCAGCTTCCATAATTGGCAATATTTTGCAGTGAAATATGAGAATTTTCCTGTAATATCTCTCTAGTGTCAGATAATTTAGAAATTCCATGTTCCCATCGTGAAATGTGCACATATCTCAAGTTCAAGGAAACATCATGATGAGAATGCTAGTCTTTTTAGGAACTGGCCTAAGTGTTTAAAGAGAAACTTACTGGCCTCAGCAAGAAATGTGAATGATAATGAAACAAAGAAGCTACCAATTTAGTCACTTGTTGCTCTGTATTATGTTTTAGTTCTAAAATTTTAT